GGTCGTCTTTATAGACTCCCTTCAGCTGGTCTATAAAAGACTATATAAAGACTAACTTCTGCTCGACTATGAAGACTACCTTCATCTCGACTATAGACTCCCTTCAGCTGTTCTATAAAGACTCCCTCCAGCTTATCTATAAAGACTCGCTTTCTATGGGTCCTTACTATTTTTTAAATCCATGCTTTCTATGGGTCCTTAAAAATATTTTTTATAAACAGGCGTGAAAGACTCGCTTCAGCTGGTCTATAAAGACTCCCTTCAGCTCGTATATATAGACTCCCTTCAGCTGGTCTATAAAAGACTATATAAAGACTACCTTCAGCTCGACTATAAAGACTATATAAAGATTACCTTCATCTCGACTATAGACTCCCTTCAGCTGGTCTATAAAGACTCGCTTTAGCTGGTCTATAAAGACTCCCTTCAGCTGGTCTATAAAGACTCCCTCCAGCTAAGCTGGTCTATAAAGACTCCCTCCAGCTCGTCTATAAAGACTCGCTTTCTATGGGTCCTTAATATTTTTTTAAATCCGTGCTTTCTATGGGTCCTTAAAAATATTTTTTATAAATCCATGCTTTCTATGGGTCCTTAAATTTTTTTTTATAAATCCATGCTTTCTATGGGCACATACAAAAATTCTTTAAAATTCCATGTCAGTATTGGCTCCCTGAAAAAATATTTTTTAAAAATCCACGCCTGTTTTAGGTCCTTGAAAAAATATTCTTTATAAATCCACGCCTGTTTGAGGTTCTAGAAAAAATATTCTTTAAAAATCCACGCCTGTTTTAGGTTCTTGAAAAAATATTCTTTAAAAATCCACGCCTGTTTGAGGTCCTAGAAAAAATATTCTCTAAAAATCTACACCTGTTTGAGGTTCTAGAAATGCTTAAAAAAATATTCTTTAAGAACCCACGCCTATTTTAGATGCTTTAAAATTTTTTCTTTAAAAACTCACGCCCGTTTTAGATGCTTAAAAAATATTCTTTATAAATCCACAACTGTTTTAGTTGCTTAAACAAATATTCTTAAAAAATTCACGCCTGTTATAGGAATTTGAAAGAAATATGCTTTAAAAATTCACAATGAGTCCTGAAAAAGTTTTCTTTAGTAGCTAGTGTTCGATTGTTTTTTATTGTTGATATATAATAAAATAAATATATATCTAATATATATTTTATTTTTATTCCCTATAGAACACAGAGCTGCTGCAAATTCCCTATTTTCCAATATTTTCGAGCGTCGCCCATCAATATCCAATCGAAGGCCTAGCATTGGATCCAATGCCTATTCATGCGGGCAATTTAGCTTCACAACAGGAAAAAGATCTCTACACCAATCCCATTTAGGTTCCGATGGTCATCGTTGCAAAAAGAATCTACATAAGCTGAATCGTCTAAAATCGAGACGTTCAACAATTGCCGGACATAATGATTTCAATAGCTATATGGCAATACAATTTCCCACAGAAACAATGGGACTGCTGCGCCAACAAAATTTAGAGGAGGATAACACCTGGGGCGAGGGATCATATCAACGTTTTCTTCGCAATGAAATCAGCGATCATTTAGATGTTGCCTCAACGGAAGCCTTCAGTGCTTGGTGTGATGATAAATTGGCAAATAATAATTATGCTGCTGGTGCCGCCGGTGTAAAAACTCGCGAAGAACTTTTGGAATTGGAACGACAACGTAACATAATGTACAATGAAATATTGCAAAAACAACGACGTAAATTGGAGCTGAAGGCAATGGAAAAAATGAAAGAGAAGCAACGACGCAAACAGGAGAAGCAACAAAAACGCGAACTTTTCCAAATGGAACAGAGTGAGACAATGCGTCAACTGGAACGTATGAATTTAAGGGGTAATGTAACAGATTTTGAAGAGGAGCAGGAGGAGGTACTGCAACCTAAGCCGCCTCAACAGGGTACAGGTGAAAATCCACAAAAAATTCCAACTAAAGGCCAGTTGAAGGAATTCCAGCTGCCATTAACAAAACAACCGCTTTGGGAGTCAACAAAAAAATCTGCTGATGTCGGAAGCCAACAGGATATTGTGAAACAGCAACAACAACAACGAGAGGAAAATAATGTTACTAAAAATTTAAACAAATCGAATATCCAATCTTCGGAAAATGAAAATGAAACTTCCGATTTGGAGAAATTACCTTTGGTCCAACGAAATACCCGAACAAATTCCAAAGAAACCAAGGGCTCTTCATCATCCGAAAAGAGCCCCAAAAAGGCTACAGTCGTCGAGAATACACGCCAAACACGCACAAGAAGACGTACTTTGAGCAAAACCCCAACCAATGGGCACAATGATTTGGAACAAACCACCGATTCCGAATTTGAATGTAAACGCCCATTAAGAGCGAGACGTAAAAGTGTTAGTAATCCACAAGTTTTAAAACGTCGTGGCAGCTATGCAGATCAAACAACCGATTCGGAGTTAGAAACAAGATCAACATGTTCCTATAGCTTGCGGAATTCAACGCGATTGGCCCAACAGCAGAAGAAAAATACAAGGCAATCGGATTCTGATTCGCTAGTGGATACACCGACATCGGTTTCAACAACAAATATGTCTCCACCAATGGAGGTGGGAATTAAAAGGAGAACTAAGGCTAAAGGGAAAAAGATTGTAAATAAAGAGGTGACCAAACCGCAGGAATTGCCACCACCACCGAACTTAACAAATCCCCTTCCGAATGTGGAACAAGTGACATCACCAATGTCTGAGCAAAATATTGTGGCAGTTATAGCCCAACGTTTATCCTCTCCCGATACCACAACCATAATACATAATACCATAGAATCTACGGATCGTGAGGAAATTCTTGAGACCTTGGAAGATCTTTTGGCCAAGGAACAACAACAGCAGCAGCAGGTAACAAAAACCCAACAAGAACCACATGATGATGTCCAAAACAATGTACCTCTGGAGTCTTCAGCCAACGATATGCATAGCGTCATTGAAAATATCGTAATAAATGAAATACAACGTGAAATGGATGCTGAAAGATCAGCGCAACCACCACCACCACCAAATCAGGAACATTCAAAACCCCAATGGAATATACGAAAAAATACCATTGTGGATTTTGAAGATAGTCCAGAGGATACAATGGTGGCGCCCCATAATAATAATAATAATAATAATAACTCGTCTAATAATCAAAATCCCACAATTCCGCCAATAATCATCAGCAAGGTACAATCTTATGGCAACATCGTTCAAGATTTTGAATGTCCCCTAGAGAAGACTGCTCCACAAAATGCCAATAAAGTTGTGGTTACAGAAAATATTGTATTGCGGCGCCAAAATTCCGGGGAAATGGAAACGTCTGGCACTTTGTTGCCCATAAATGATTTAATTATGAATTTAAATGATATACCCCTACTGCCGATCGGTAATACAAATGAAACGTCATCAGCGTCATCATTGGGGGGAGAGATTTATGGTATCTCGGGAGAAGAAAATGTGGGTCTTGAAAATTATCCCCTAAGCAAGCAGGGTGAGAGCATGTTAGAGAAGGAAGTTTTGGTAGCCAAGGAAGTTTGTGTTCCCACCAAACCCTGTTATGTGGTTCTAAATCGCCATGAAATCGATGCATATTTTAGGGAAAAACATCAAGCACCCAAAAAACAGTTTCCAGAGGAAGAACAGAAACATCAGGAACAGCAGCAAAGTAAAGAAAGTCTGGCCAGTATTCTAAGACGTAAAGTTTTAAATGGCGAAATCGATATCCACAATAATCCCGCATATTTAAACGATGATGGTCAAAGATCCACCACTTGGTCACCCACCGAATTGGTAGATACCAATGCCGTGGATGACGATTCGGATGATAATGAAAAGGCTAATAATCAACCTGGCGGCTATATATTAACGGAAGAGGATCGATCAACAACATGGTCTCCCACAGTAATGGTTGAGCCGGCAATCAATCATGATTCCCATACCCAAGGCGGCAAAGAAACACTAAAATCTTGTTTGTCATCGAAAAGCAACAACAACAACAAATCTCAAAATGACAATCCAAAATCGCTTACCTTTAATTCAATGGTGGAGTTAATACAATATTCACCAAGTGTATCATATACGAGCTCAATTGATTCGGATAGTTCGCTGGGGCCAAGAAATGACCAAGGGGATTTTGGGAGGGCGAGAAATACAAATATTTGTACACAAGGGCCAGAAAATGACCTCGCGAATAATGGAGATGGAAAGCAACAACAAAATAATTCTAACAACGATAATGGTTTGGGTTCAACTGGGGAAGGGGTTCCTAAATGCTTTAATTCTCCTGAATTTGGTTACTCAAATGCCGCAAATATTTCCCATAAAGATTCCGAAAACGGCCGAAGTTCTTCATCATCATCTTTATTGGAATACCATCATGAAGAACATTATTTTGAACATGAAATTGAAATCCAAACAACTGCCAGTGAAATGGTGGGTACCAAAAATCTCCAGTCTACAGGTGATGATGATATACCCACTCCAATTTATCTATTTAGTCATGATGAAATGTTGAAATTTACGCACACCAACGATCCGTTACAAGTTTCCTCAACATGCCATAATTTACCTAAAAACCCCATGATGTCACCCTCGGAACAAGAAGTATCCTCATCACAGGATCAAACAGCTGGAAAGGTAACATCAAATGATGGCAAGGGAGGGGAAGGAGGTGATTGCAGCAAGAAAAAGTTAACCTCTAATGGTGTTCTACAAAATAATCAAGTCGACACAACAAATAATCTATTGACGGAGATAAATGTGGCGCCCACCTTGGATAGTTTTATTGCCACATCGACAATAGATATTGCAGCTTTGGGTGGTGGCATAAAAGATAATAGCAAATCAAAATCAAGTTTTAAGGAAAATGATAAAGCCGTAACCCCAACTGAGTCCTCCAATAGCTTGGAAAAATCGAAAGGATTCTAAATTCAAAATTCCAAAAATAAAACGAGATTTTAATGAGCGATCAAATATGGCCATAACTCAAAATTCCTCCAAATCCAAGCCGCCGCCAACAACACTGAAGGCCCCACGAAATCCCTTTGTAACCCGATCGGCGGCAGCTGGAAATGTTCAGGAAAAGAAAACCATTCCATCAAAGGAAATTCACGAAAAATCACTGCAGGACTCAAAAGAACCTCCAAGGCGACAAAAACGTGAACGTTCAAATACGCCCAGTGATAATGAACAAAAGGAAAGGAATCAAAATAATGCGAAAATGGATATGAAAAAGGAGAAGACGGAAACAACAACCATGTCCCGTGATGAAAAAATGGATAGGTTAAAGGCGAAAAGGGATAGATCTAGCACGCCCAGTGATGGTGAACAAAAAAGGCCCACAAGGAAACTCAACGAAGAAACCAACAAACCAGACAATACAAAAAAGGAACAGGGCGATAAGGATTCAACAAAGAATTTGAATACAAATTTAAAGGTAGATAAAGGGGAACGTTCTGCCAAACCCAGTGAAAAGGAGCTTAAAAATTTAAAACGGAAAATTGCCGAAGAAATCATTAAAGCGAATACTAACCCCAGAAAAGATAAACCCGATAATGAAACTAAGAAATCTAAAGCATTCGAAAATAACATTAAAGAAAAATCCCACAAAAAATTGCCAACTAATGAAAAGCAAATAAAAGGAGAACATAATAGAAAAGAGAAGAATACAAATTCCGAAGAAATTTCAAGCCAAAAATTATCAAAGAAGGAAAACCCCAGATCCCTGGAAGAGAAACACAAAGCATCTTCAATTGATACAAATAAAGATAAAAAATCATCTCAATTGCCGAATGATCACCCCGAAATATCTAGTTCAATTTTTTATTCCAAAAATGAACAGGAAACAAAGGAACAATTTAAACATTCAAAATTAAGTGGTGAAATAAAAGAGACCACAAAAAGTCAAAACAAGAAAATTATCCATCAATATGAATCGGTAAAACATGTTATAAAAGTATCCGGTATAGAAACCTCCAACGATGCCGTAGTACGTAAAAAACCAAGAACTAAATAATATTTACGTTACAATGCGGTAGTACGTCAACAAATGATACGCAATGTCACAAAGTCTCTGTTAGAGAGATGAGGAAGATGAAGAGATGCGTTAACTTCAATCGAAGTAAAATTGTACAGGTCAGGCTTTAAGTTATTATTAAGTTTTTTTATTTTATTTGTTGTAATATAAACATAGTTGTAATTTTCTTAGCCATATAAATATGTACAATAACTACATGAAATAAAGATCTAATTTGTAAAATATAAAAATATTTAAATATATTTTTTAAAATACATTTTTTTTTTTTGAAACAAAAAAATCGCATATAAATGATTGAAAAAACAAACCCTTAAATTGTCGATATACCGACCACATCATTCCCAAAGTCTCATCTCTAAATATGCCAGCAAAGGTGAATTGAGCGGAGCCTCTTGAGGCAGTATTCATCTTCAAATATATGTATGAAAGACATTTGTATCATGGATTTCCAGAATCCATACCCTTTAAAGTGAAGCAGAGAGTTATTCCAAGACTCCATACGTTATTAGTAGTATTCTTCCACGCGAGGAATATCAAAATATTCGCCACGAAATCTTCGGAAGTGACTTACTTAACTGGTCAAGACAGAACATTTATTTCATAAGCGGAATTTAAAAAAGATTTCCAGGTCTTGTGCGCATTTTTTCCAATTTGAAAGACCGTGCTTTGATATGTCATCCTCCACTTAATCTTTTCATTCGTAGCCTTCCCCTTCTGCCAGAACCTTCAGTACGTTCGATTTTATATGTCTTTTGAGCTGGGGCATTCTCATCCATTCGCACAACATGGCCTAGGCACCGTAGTCGCTGTAGCTTGATACGTCTGACAATGCCGATGTATGAGTTTCTAAACTACATACTGGGACCATAGTAGCATCTGTTGGCCAACACTATCCTTCTCCGAATTTAATTTCGCAGGATTGCCGAACGCAGACATTGCTTTAAAAATTTCTGAACGGATAGAGTTGTCGAATGCGGCTTTATAGTCGACAAATAGGTGGAATGTGTCGATGTGTTTTTTGTGGATCTTTTCCAGTATTTGGCTCAGAATGAAAATCAAGTCAATGGTGGATTTGTCAGGGCTGAAGCCGCATTGGTATGGCCCAATAATGTCATTGACCATTGGCTTCAGCCGTGCACACTGCACGCTGGATAACACTTTATATGCAATGGGAAGAAGACTAATTCCTCTATAGTTGGCACATATCGTCTCCTATTTTGGGCATGGAACACAGGATGCTGAGGTTCCAATCATTGGGCATGCATTCCTCTAATCAGTTGGTGAATGCTTGGCACATTGAATTGTTCGGCTGGTAATGTGTCGTCACCTGCTGCTTTATTGTTCTACAGCCTCCTATTTTGGGCACGGAACACAGGATGCTGAGGTTCCAATCATTGGGCATGCATTCCTCTAGTTAAATTGTTCTAATCAGTTGGTGAATGCTCCTGATCAGCGTCTGACCACCGATCTTGAATTGTTCGGCTGGAAATCCATCGTCCGACCTCATCTTGGCTAAGTGGTATACAATCTATACCGTCGTCTCTACTTGGTTCTGGGGTATATTCTTCACCGCCACTATTTGATACCAGAAACTTTTCAACATGCTCCTTCCCGATCCTCAACACGCTATCAGTATCTGTCACCAGATTTCCTTCTTCATCTCTACAGGAATAAAATTTCCGGACTTCATTCTGACTACGTTACATCTCGATTCAATCTTCTCTCTCCCTTACTCCCGATAATTCTTTCTCGCATTACGTGTTGCTATGTTATAACAACAGCTATAGATGCAAATAACGCCTATAACCATCAACATTCATTTCTATGGGGGCTTTAATAATACATGGACCTATTAGGTTAGGTCTGGGTATGTGAAGTCACTAAATGTGACTGCAGTACACGAAGACCGTCCGGTCCATCACCCATGAAAGATATGGAGAGATCTATAGGGCAGAAATGGGATAGAGAATACAAAAAGCTAATAATAGTACTGCAGAATTTTGGACAGAAAACATATTACGAGCTAAGGTTGCACTTTCCCAACCACTTTAGGTTTCTCTAATTTCAGCTTTACTCAGGTTCAACAGTGAGTTTGTTCTCTTGGGAGACAGAGTCGGCCAGATAAATCTTGTGCCACAGTTCATTGCCTCGTTCGTCGAAGAACGCCTCAAAATTCCGGAAAAGGTGACAGATTGGTGGTTTTATTGATTGCTAGATCTGTGTATTGAGATCCTCGTCTAGCTAGTTCGTCTGCTTTTTTCATTACCCATGTGTCCTAGTAACCAACACAGCCGATAACTGTTAAGTTTTTCCAAAACTGCTCTACACTCGAGGACGATGTCAGACTTAATGTTACTGGATTTAAGAGCCGCCTGACTATCCACAAATATAGTCACCGGTTCAACGATCTCTGCATCCAGACTTTTTATCAATTCCGCTGCCTTCCAAATCGCGAAAATTTCAGCTTGGCAAACACTACAGTTGCTATCCAACTTGTAGGTAAGCTCATGGTCTAGCCTTTCACAGTAGACACCAGTCCCTGTACCTTGTATCTTGGGTCCGTCCGTATAAAAAGCCACACCATCCAGAGAAGGGTTACTCCGGTTCCAATCGCCTCTACTGGGGATAACATCTACATCGTCTAATCTCAGGACTGGTAATGTATAGTGGCTGATTTTTACGTGTTTGTCCAATGTGATAACTTGTTCGTTCAGGATAAATCCATGCCCGTAAACACAATTTGGCCAATATTTTGTTCATGTATCCTTAGGGCGCTGCCTGACACTTAATGATGAGAACCAGAGGCCCTAAGTTCAGCATTACGTTCAGAGCTTCTTGTGGGGTACTCCTCGTGGCTCCAGTTATGAGAATCGAGGCGTCTCTTTGTACCTTGTCTAGTTTGCCGGATGTCGACTTATGGCACAGGCAGTGCCACCAGACATGAAATCCATAGAAAAGTATGGGCTTTACCACGGTGTTATACATCCAGGGTATAGTCGATGGTTTTAGCCCCCAACTTTTCCGAATGGAATTCTTGCATGCATAGTGTGCAATCTGCCCTCTCTTCGCCCGATCCTCAGCGTCCCTGGTCGCATCGTAGTTGACAGTCCATGATTGTGCCAAGGTATTTTGCTTCGGACAAGAGATGAAGCTGCACTCCATCCAGCAAAAACCCCGAGCTTACGTTTCCTAGTGAACATTGGACTTACTCTAAGGCCGTGTGCTTGGCCCAGTCCGTGACTGGTTTTGCCCTCTCTTCGCCCCATCCTCAGCGTTCCTGGTCGCATCGTAGTTGACAGTCCATGATTGTGCCAAGGTATTTTGCTTCGGACAAGAGATGAAGCTGCACTCCATCCAGCAAAAACCCCGAGCTTACGTTTCCTAGTGAACATTGGACTTACTCTAAGGCCGTTTGCTTGGCCCAATCCGTGACTGGTTTTGAACCCCGCTTTTTTGAAAAACTCCCTAAAATTCGAACTAGGGTCATTATGGTCCATCACCAATTAATGATATGTGGATAAAAAGATGTGGGCCTTAGAATCCTACAAAAACAAGAAAATTCGTTCGCGTAGCCGGTGCTGATATCTGTCCGTAGAAGAAAGAGCCCCCGGCCGCGTACCCGTACTTCCGGATCAAATAACTGGGTAGGTCCGCCAAGAAAAAATATTTCCCTACAATTGGGTTCTGAAAAAAAAACATTAATAAAAACTGAACATTAATAAAAACTGCACCAAAAAATATGGTTGTAAAAAGCGTGTCGAAGCCGATTGACCAAAAACCTGCTCCACCGCATTCGAAAAAATCGTTCCGCTTTGTTGTCTGCTCCATGTTTGCTGCTTACAGCTGTTTTTTATGTTTTGCCCACTTCCCATTCGTAAATATGATGCGGGTTTATCTCCATTGCTTTCATCAGTCATTCGTAACATCATACGTTTTCATTGATTTTCCCTCCAACTCATTTCGTTAGTTCCTTTTTGAGAATCATATCATCGTTCAATTGATTGCATTAAATCAGCAGTGTGGAACTACACAACTCCATGTCAAGATGTTGGACAAAGTAAAACATGTTATATTGGTGCTGTCGGGAAAAGGTGGTGTTGGTAAATCCACCGTCAGTACACAATTGGCATTGGCCTTAAGGGAATCTGGTTTGAAGGTATGTTGAAAAAAGTGTATTCATTTTGTGGAACACAGGCGGCTTTATATGGGACTTTGTGACCCTGTTTTGTTTGCATTATCATCACTAACTTATGACACTTCCTCTCACCAACAGGTTGGCTTATTAGACATTGATTTGTGTGGCCCATCAGTTCCATATCTTTTGGGTCTGGAAGGTCGTGACATCTATCAATGCGATGAAGGTTGGGTCCCCATTTACACGGACGAAAGTAAAAGTCTGGCTGTCATGTCCATCGGATTCCTGCTGAAAAATCGCAATGATCCAGTTATTTGGCGTGGTCCGAAAAAAACTATGATGATTAAACAATTCCTTACCGATGTCAAGTGGGATGAGCTGGACTATTTGATCATTGACACACCACCTGGTACTTCAGATGAACATATCACCGTTATGGAATGTATGCGTGATGTACGTTGTGATGGTGCCATAATTGTTACCACACCACAAGGTGTTGCCTTGGATGATGTCCGCAAAGAGATAACATTTTGTAAAAAGACCGGTATCCAGATATTGGGTATTGTAGAGAATATGAGCGGTTTTGTTTGCCCCCATTGTACGACATGTACGAATATTTTCTCATCAGAGGGTGGTGTGGAGTTGGCCAAAATGACGGGGGTGCCACATTTGGGCACGGTGCCCATCGATCCACGTGTTAGTGTTTTGAATGGTACAACACGTTCGGTGTTAACGGAATTACCGGAATCGGGAACGGCGGCCACTTTTAAGTTGCTGGTTGAGAAAATAACAGCGTAATGAATGTTTGATATGTGTCTTTTTTTATTTTGTATATAAAGAAATTATAGTTATAAAGTATACATTGTGTTGTGATTGCAGAAATTTTGCGGGACTCACGATTACTAAGCAATATTAGAGCAAAAAGCACGATGACTAGAGGTAAGAACAAAAATTAACAACCCTATAAAATAGTATGATTTCCATCATAAAATTCCTGATAGAATCATCCTGAAAATCGATTTAAAACTACGACTTTTATATTATGACACAAAATTAGAAAACAATACTTCTTTCTGTGTATTGATCGAATTGGAATTTGAAAGACATCCCTACCACCTCACTGTGATATCTGATCCACATCCGCGATATATACGACAAGACTTCAGGTGCTTTCGTTTAGTCATCCAAGACTTCATTCTATCCGACGTCCATAATAAAGTTGGGATCAAGTTGTTGTAGCAGCGTGTACTGGATCTGCTTCTTACTCCAGTTTTAAAAGTGTTTGAGGTTAGATTAGTTGGTTTTGGTTGGACAGTTGGAGAGGTGTAGCGTGTCATGTGGACCATTACCACATGACGTCCACCGTGATCTCAGTTGTGCCAAGGCAACTCTGGTGTGTCGTAGTAGCTGCTGCTTTGGTAGGCAGGTGGTCTCCGAGGATTGTATTCACTCTGTATTCTTGAATTGCTCCCTAAACTACATTCTTGATATAAAGGTTCCTATTTGTACCTCTGGAACTGTCTCCATATCACGAAGATCCTTCTTAAAATATTAAGGTAGTGGGTTCCTATCCATAAGGTGATGATTTGGATGGCTACTTCTGTAACACCCAATCAGATATTGCATCGACAACATCTACGGCTTATAAAAACTATTGAATGTGACCCCTGTGAGATCAAGTGGGTGGTGGTACCATTGAAGAAGTATATGTGGTGCGACTGTCATTAGGGCTATTATCACATATTATGAACCGTGACCAATATGAATTGGGAGCGATTACACTACCATTGTCCATATGCGGTATATTGTTTTACTACCTTTCTCTAGATCATTATTATGTCTCCTGACGTACCTGGGCACCCAATATATTGGAGTAATTATTTCAACCGTCCATGTGGTGAACATATTCCCCAGGTGAAGGCAAAAACTCAGAACATCAGCAATGTAGACGTTTATCCTTTCAATAATAGAACCCGAAGCAATGATTGTACAATCAACCGCATATATATGTGGAAAATGATATATACCTGTGGTTCTCCATATACGCGTATTTATTAGGCGAATGAGGCTCGAGGCTGTGTCAATAGTGAGACCAAAGCCATGATCGTGCAATCAACCACATACATGTGTGGAAAACAATATCTATGCCGTTCGGTGGTTGTGGAATATCAGAAGGGTACAGGTTGAACACTTTCGGAAGTTGGCCTCCACCTTAGGGAACTCGACTTCTTGTTTCCTTCTTGTGGTTCTAAAAATGCACGTCTTTGTTAGTTTGTGTCGGTATATGCTGATTATATATATTTGGCCTGTTTATATGTGATTCGCCTGTTGATCTAGAGGCTCCGTTTTACACCTTTGCAACTCTCTCCTCGTGGCATGTTTTTCAATGGAATTAACTGTAATTTAGTATATTGGGTTACAAATCCTACCAAAAATTATCAATATTGATGACTTATAAGGTAAATCGGCTGGAATTTTGTAGTTTGGATTTATGTGGTGAATCAGATCTGCCTACGATTATCAATATTGTCCCATTTTTCTTTTGGGTAGCCCCCATATAACGGATCTCCCCAATATTTGGTAGTTTGAGTTTTAAACCTAATAATTTAGTATTTTCGATTGTGGTGTGATAGTAAATTTTCCTACAAAAAAATATTACTATTAGTCCATCTTCTAGGGAAGTGCCCATGTGAAGCTACATCCCAAAGTTCGGCATTTTGGTGAGCTTGAGTACGTGTTTCAACCAATTTGGGATTTTAGATTCTCATTGAGTAGAAAATTTCCCTACAAAAATTTTCAACATTAGCCAATGTATCGGTATTTTGGGGGGTTTGGGCACTTTTTTTAATCGAATTGACACTAATTTGTTATTTTAGGTTCCCGTTGGACGTAAAATCTTTATAAACATGATCAATATTATTTAAGTTTTTAGGAATCCCCATATAACGCCACATCCCAATTTTCTCATATTTTAACGAACCTTGGATACATGTCCCAACTAAAATTAGCTGTAATTTAATATTTTGGATTCTGAGTAGAAATCTGCTTACCAAAAATTATAATCGGTCCAGCCGATTTTAACTATGTGTTTACTTGTTTAAAGATATCATTAATAAACATTGATTTTTCTGTAAACCCCACATAACACTGTAGTTTAAGGTATTCCATACTTACATTTGAGTATAGATCTGTCGATTTATGCATGTCCTTCCGTCCATCTGTCTATGTATTACTGTTAAACGTACGTACTCGATTGCAATTGATAAGAAATCGGTTTAGATATAGATATATAATTTCTATCGATTTCTTTTCATTACTGTTTTTTGTTACATTTTTTATATGATTGATTTTTTCCCCCAACATCCATTTCCCCACCAAGAAAAATTGAAAATACTATTATTTGTATTTTGTATTTAAATTGTGTGTTTTTTTAATTTCTTTTCTTTTTTCAATATGTTTTTCTTATAAAAAAATTACTTACAATCTAAATACATAAGCATAATATAATTGAATTTAAAACAATGCTGTTAACTAAAAAAATAAAAAAAGAAACTAGAGTTAAAAAAATATAAATCAATGCAAATACAAAAGTAAACAGTTCAGATGTACGATGTTAACTAATTATGGGGCGAAAAGACACCCTTACAAATGATGTTGATAATGGGCCATGAATAACCTCCAAATGGCTCATCATAAGTAAAGGCTGTTTCCCCTTGTGTATAATTCTTAAATGATTTGCTGTTACTTTATCCTGAAATGCCTTAATTTATAAAAAAAAGTGAACTCCAGTTAATGTAGATGTTTTGGATTAAGGTAGCCATTTGCTAATTTGGAGGTTAGTTAGCATAGCTTTTGGCGAAACCCTTAATCCATGTGGGAGATAGGCGTGCCATTTTCAAAATGCTTCAAGATTCTTTGCTCAAAGTCTTAAAACAATTTGCGTTGGCGTGCCAATTGTACGAATGGCGACAACCTAGCCATCGTTGTACAATTTATAACGATAATAATTTTTGATTTGTTCAAAAAAATTTTTATTCGCCAATGCGAACAAAAGTTTTTTTTTTCGCCAATGCGAAAAAAAAGGTTTTGTCACTTCCAAACATTAAGAAAACTCTCAGTCACTTTCTGCCTCAAAGTCATTAGGTAATTCCGCTTTTAAAAATTGATACAATTCTCTCCATTCGAAATCCAAACAAACCGCAACCGAGGTGGAAATTCATTCGGTTTCAAAATGTCAAGAATTGTTCGCTTTGTTAAAAGAGAAAAAACTTCACTTCTTCGAGGCAAAAATACCGGCATATTTCCGAAATGTTTTGAAAGCAACGAGGGGGGTTTTTTGTTGCATTCAGAAGTCCAGTTGAGTTGTTGTGAGAGGTGTGACGTGGTGGGACAAATAAAAATACTTACATTTAAAAAATAACCGAACATTATAAATAGAAAAAATATTGAAAATTCTAAATTTGTCTTCCCGGAGGAATAACAAATTTCGAATTCTCAAATTTTTTCTATAAAAAATGTTAGAAATTTTTCAAATGTAAGTATTTTCAATCCCATCACACTCCCAGCAACAACTCTCGTAAACAACTGAATACAACGGGTTTGGGTATTTCGACAAACTTTCAGTCTCGATAATGATTTCATTTTGTGGAACTGTATTGAAAATATTCCCCAGCCCTGGGCTTTGTCCAGGCCAACAATTAAAAGAATTTCTTCCCATAACTATTGGACCTTGACACAACCTTGTAGCCTAGAATAGTCTGCAATAAAGTTTGCAAAATGAAATACTTACCCGACTAAAGTCCGCAAAATACCCGGTTTCATAATGTGCAAAAAATTGCATAATAATAATTGCTGTGTAATGCGTGCGGTTGTTATTAAATTTAAAAAAAATCCAATGTAACTGCTAATGATGAGGGTCCAGGCGTTCATAGCCTGTAAAGCCGGTTTGTTGGAGAAACACAGCGTGTGAACGGAAAGCGTTTAGCCTTAACCTTAAAATATGCAGGCAGGTGAACTCACAATTTTTGATAACGGAAATTTGTCTTTACAAATCACAACGATTTTAATGTTCCAAAAGAATTCTTAGATTTTAAAAACTCTCGGTGAACAATAAAATCATAGAGATTTGCTAAGTAAACTTTCCGGCATCAAAAATCAAGAGAAACCTATTTAATATGAATGATTTGTTGAAGAGGCAGCCATAACATTTGTGGGAGAGGTACACAAGCTATTATAACTGCTCTCTGTTTTATCTGATGTCACTACCAATTCTCTGAGAACTTAACCTAAAAGATTAGTTAATTTTAGTTTAGTTGTTGTTGGTTCCATTGCGAGTGGTGTGTGACATCATTTGTGTGGTGTTTGTTGTTGTCGACTTCATTTTATTCTTCGGCCGCTTTGCGTTTGCGGCACTGTTCTGTGGTATGACCACGGAAATTACAATACGTACAACGTTTTGTGCCCTTGGAGCCACGCACTGGTCCCTTTTGTTCAGCTTCGTCTTCCATCATGTTGTGTTCAATGATGCGACCCTTCTCCAGCAGATCTCGGAACGTCTTGATGTCTTGGCGTGCAATATGCTTGCGGTATTTGATATTCAGCAGACCATATACCAAATCGATTTCGGTCTCTTCGTCGTGTCTACCTTCAGGCAATTGGGCCAAGAGGGCCCGCTTTTGGCACACGAATGTATCAATGGCCTCGCTGTCTCCTTGTTTCTTCTCGAAGATGTCAACGTAGATTTGATAGGCAGGTTTGGTGGGTGAGAAATGGTCACGAATCAGAGCCAAAACATCATTCCATGTTTTAGCTTCCTTGCGTACACCTTGCCACCAAGTGGAGGCCAAGCCATAGAACAGCAAAGAGATACCCTTCAAGGCATCCTCGTCACTGATACATTCGATTTCCTTGTACGTTACAATTGAGGTTATGAATTCCTCGACAGCTTGATGATCACGTTGGCCACCGAAACGAGAGGGACAATTACTGAAACTGCCCTTGGATTTGTGTTGGACATTTTCAGCAGCCTGGGCAGCACTATTGGCGGCGGATATGCGGACAGCTTCGATGAGTTGTTGCAATTGTTCGGTGGTCATTTGTACCATTTGAGCCATTTTGTTGATGTTGTTGTTTTAGTTTTCACTTGAAAGTTTTGCGTTGGAGTATTGGTGTTTTGAAGAACAAAGCCAGGTGATTAGATGTGTTGGCGAATGTTTTTTTCACTTTTTACCGTTTTAACTCCAATCGAACATTGGGGGGTTGGTCGTTGCGTTAGTCGAAGTTCGCAGTAGACTGATTTGTTCGAGCAATGCCGCTGCCTTTTATAGCCGGCAAATAATCGTAGGAAAAAAAGAGTATCAGAGAGACATAGTGACGATGTAGGTGACCGCAAATGTGAGACCCATACTAATATACACAAGCATACATACAAACATATTTTTATTTTTGTGTGTTCTCTGAGATTAGTAATATTTCACAATTTGTGAAATGAGATTAACGCTCTCTTTCTTAGAATTGATACGAAGTAGAGGGATTTGTTTGCCAAAATAGACACATAATAACCCGATAACGACAAAATACCATAATTTATGAAAACTAATTGTTTTCTTTTATTGATACTTCGGGGTTCGAGAATTCCACAATTCCCAGCCTATTGTTCCCATATTTGCCTAGAAACATACATAAATATTTTAAGCAGGTAGTTACATACATATTAATCTGATGTCAATTCAAACTGCAATCGGTTTGATACCTGCGATAAAATTTTGAAAATTATTGAATATTTTGGGAAGAGTATTATAATCTCATTTGTATTTTCGTGTGTTCTCTGAGATTAGTAATATTTCACAATTTGTGAAATACGAAATAAAGAGAACCTTTTGCATGAGAATAACGCTCTCTTTCTTAGGATTGATACGAAGTACGGGGATTTGTTTGTCAAAATAGATACATAATTGCCCGATAATGACAAAATACCAAAATTGATAATAACGAAATGTTTGTTTTATTCATAGTTCGGATTTCGAGAATTCCATAATTCCCAGCCTAACATATTTGCATAGAAACATACATAAATATTTTAAGCAGGTAGTTACATACATATTAATCTGATGTCAATTCAAACTGCAATCGGTTTGATACCTGCGATAAAATTTTGAAAATTATTGAATATTTTGGGAAGAGTATTATGATCTAATTTGTATTTAAAACCTAATAGCATACACACATATTATATGTGTACTTATACAATCACATTTCATTAGCAGGTACCTACATTATATCAACTAAAAAATCTAATGTTGTGAACTCAAAATGCAATGGGCTTGGAAAAATTGATAAAACATTTTTGTAAACATATTAAATATAGTGGAAAATTTGTATGAATTGAAATAATAGGCGAATATCTAATAGATAGGGCGACAATTGTTGTTTGACCATGAACGTTTTTTGGCAATAGAGTACTAAACACAATGTGACTAACATCTTCCAATAATAATATAGTCGAAACCGAGAACAACCGCAGTTGTGACTCAAACCTTAAAACATATTCCAGAACGATAAATTCTATTTTGGCGGGGAGTGAAAATAAAAATTATAATTTTGGTAATTCAATTCGAAAAAATAGTGTTTTCTATGGGAAAACTTCAAAGCAGATTCTAGATAGAGTTGCTGAACAACATTTGTATTGATCTTAAATTTTGGACCATCTGGCCGTTTTTAAAACGAAAGAAAATTTTGCAAAACGTTTTTTAAACCTTAAGGGAATATTCTTATATAGAAATAATCTCTCTTCATGAAATAATGATGAATTCAAAAATACCGACTTCTTTCCAACTTGTTTGAATTTGGATATTTTGTTAATTTTTGTTATAAATAGAATTTATTCATAAAGTTTGAACGACAACAGAAATAACAATAAAAATGCGGTTTATAAATAAAGATTTTAATAACAAATAGTAGTCGTCTCATTTCAGTTTACTCATTTCATTTCAGTTGCTCACCGATTCCAATTAATTACGACTTTTGATCTCGATTTCTAATTTCACATATCTGTATTCGAATGACGTATGTAGATTACAAAGAAAAAACTTGCAATTTTCTCCACAAGCCAATGACCTCAATTTACACCCATTTGACGTATGTAAATCAAAATAAAACCAGTTTTTTTAATTTGTAATTTTGTTTTGATTATTTGCAAGAAGTTTTATTTTGTTTTCAGTTCCTTATGAATAACTTAAAATAAAAACTACCTAAAATATAAAACTTATTTACATTTGTATTATAGCTATTATGAACACATAACCTAACCTAAATAACCCACAGTCTTAATCGTACTAATGGCGAGTCCTTTCCACGGTACGGCCCTTTTCGAGTAACTCTCGAAATGATTTGATTTCATGGCGGGGTATTTTTTGACGATATTTGACATTGAGCAGGCCATACACGAAATCTAATTCCGTTTCCTCATCGTGACGACCCTCGGGCAGCTTGGCTAGTAGAGCTCTCTTCTCGAGTATGAAAGGATCTATTAATTCCAAATCACCCTGTTTCTTTTCGAAGATCTCCAAATAAATTTGATAGGTCGGCTTCGACGGTGAGAAATGTTCTCTCAGCAGACGCATGGCATCATCCCATGTTTTGGCCTCTCGTCGTACACCTTTCCACCAGGTCGATGCCAAACCGTTGAAGAGCAGCGGTAAACCGCGTAGAGCATCTTTATCGGATATTTGTTCCATTTCTTTGTATGTTTCAACGGCATCGATGAACACTTCGACGGCATCATTGTCACATTGGCCCGCAAAACGGGTACAACAATTGGCAAAACTTCCTTTCGATTTGATTTCTTCGAGGACTTGATCTTTTTGTTGTGGTGCTAGGGATTTTATTGTTTCGATAAGTTGTTGAAATTGGTCTGGGGACATTTGTGTTGCTTGTGACGCCATAGCGATACTGATTGTTGTGAGGAACTGAAACGTCCGCGCTACTGCGTTCAGCTGCTTACGTTAGCCGAAGAGAAACTAAAAGACCAGAGTGAAATATTTTCGTATCAAACGTATATTTTTGTTGTGAAATAAACAATCATTGTGTTTATGTATGTTGGTATGTTTGTCCTCTTGTTTTTAAGTTGTTTGTGTCAGCTATGGCTTGACGGTTGGTGTATGAGTCATACCTTCTTTAGGTAACAACAACAAATTGCCGATGCAAGAGATTTGCCGGTTTTACCGGCACTCTCATTCTGAAAGTCACATTTTCTTTTGGTTACAAAAACAATTTGCCGGTTCAAGAGAGATGAGAAACACATTTTGGGGAGAAATGAAATCAGTTTCTGTTATAAACAAAGAGAGAGCCCCTTCAAGAGATTTCAGGGCATTTTTTAATGAGAGGAGCCATCCCCACTCAATGGAGAGTAGGAATTATTTTATGTTTCTTTTGAAGAGCGGAGTAAACAAATGTATTCCAAGAGAAAGAGTATAATGAAGAGAGCACACTGTGTGGGAGCACGCATTTTGGGAGGCCATGGTGTTTTGGCTCCCAAAATTGTGGAAAATACGGCACTTATTTTGTTTTTAATTTTTTTCAGAGGGACTCCCCTTAAGCAATATGGTCATAATTCATATCGAACAACATCTATTAATATATATATGTATGTGTGTATATGGGAATGAATGGATGTTCATAAAAACTAGCAATTCTATGGAAAATATAGTCAATTAGAGGGGTGATGGTGATGTGACGCATATCAATTTTTGAAATTAAGACATTAATGAATGGCACTTTTAAACAGACACTGTTTACAATATTTTATATAAAAATGATCGCTTCAGCGTCATTGAAATCACTTTGCAGGAGGTGCACTTTTGTTCAAATTGCATAATCCATTCGCCTGGAAACTATATATGGGAGCTATATCTAATTTTGAACCTATTTTCACGAAACCTCGCACACATCATTCTAGACTCAATTCAGTACCCTATGCCAAATTTGTTGCAAATTTACATCAAGTCGGTAGAAAATATATATGGGATTTATATCGAAATCTAAACCGATTTTTACGTAACTTATATACACTTTACAGATATATATGGACTTTGGTGCACCATTTACATATATTCGGAGGAAACTATATATGGGAGCTATATCTAATTTTGAACCGATTTTTACAAAACCTAGCACACATCATTCTAGACTCAATTCAGTACCCTATGCCAAATTTCGTGCAAATCGAAAGTTATATAGGGACATTGGTGCACCATTTACTTCAAATCGGACGAAAATATATATGGGAGCTTCAGTTGTGTTGGCGGTTTATTTGGGATACCATTTGTATTTTGTTTTTGCAAAATAGTCAGGCTGAACACTACTGAAGTTGTAGACGCAGGCACGGTTAAACTGTTTGGTTTGTTGCTGTACACTAGCAACACCAACAAAGTCGTTGTGTGCATTTGTCGCGATGTGACAACACACAACAGTGGGAAAGGTGTGGTATTGTTTGTAAATGCCTTGTTAACCTCGAAGTGAGGCTCCAGCGAAATTCTCATGCAGTTTATGTCGTTGGTCAGCTAAGTACTTCGCTTTGTTACAAGAGACATTTGGGTATGAAAGGTTTTTTGTATAGAAGCAATAGCTTCTGGGAAGAATATCCTAACAAAAAACTAAGGGAACTGATGAGGATCAGTGGCGTGATCCGAAACTATAGTCTTCCCTGCCTTACCCCTCGGCAAACAATGCCATACATTCCCCACTAATAAATAGTTGTTTTTTATAAAAACAACAAACTGGGATTCAGCCTGACTATTTTGCAAAAACAAAATACAAATGGTATCCCAAATAAACCGCCAAAACTACTGAATATTTAAATTTATTAAAATATAGTCGTTCAAAATAATAGTAGTGCTATTGATTTAATTGATGGATATTAATAACTAATACAAATAATATGTCGCTATTTCATTTCAAAAGGTAGACATTTAACACAGTATTTAGTGGCAAACCCTTTATTCGCAATTACAGCGGCACAACGTCGTGGCATGGAGTTCACCACATTTTGGCACCTTTCAACTGGAATTGACTCCCATGTATCCTTAACAACATCCCACAATGTGCTGTAGCTTATAGGTTTTCTTTGCCCAACCACGGCCTCTACATCACACCATAAATTCTCAATGGGATTGAGATCGGGAGACTGTGCTGGCCATTCCAATACCATAACCTTTTTTTTTCCAAACCACAGTTGCAAGAAGGCTGATGTGCTTTGGATCATTGTCCTGTTGAAAAGTCGAAATTTAAGGCATTTCAGGTGACGATCCATGAAATCTTTGATCCAGTATATTGGTCCAACTCCGTAGAAAGAAAAACGTGACCATATCATATCACTGGATCCTCCATGTTTGACAGTTTTTAACGTAAATTTTGGATTATATTCTGAATTAAGAGGCCGTCTTACGTACACTCATGAGCCTTTCCCGCCATATAGGACAATTTTTGACTCATCGGTCCACAAAATATTCCTCCATTTTTCATTGGGCCAATCCAGATGATTCTTAGCAAATTTTAGTCGCTTACCTACATGAATTTTCTTCGACAACGGCACTTTTCGTGGGCTTCGCGCCGACAAATTTGCATCTCAAAGACGTCTGCGAATAGTTTCAACGCTAGCAAGTTTGTATTTTATTTCTGTAGCAGTGCAGAATCAACAAAACAATATTCTTATGAAGCCACTACTATTATTTTGACCGTATATCTGTATATCTAAATCTGAACCGATTTTCACGAAATTAATTATTTCTCAAAACGTCATGATTATAGATAGCTCGGTTTGTTATTCATTAATGTCCTAGAGTATAGTTCTGCTAGTTCTGAGCTTATTTTCTATTTCAATGAAAATTCCTAAAGTTCGTAACTATTTTTATGACCGGATATTGATAACAAGAACTAATGGTTACAAAAAAATATATCATGTGAACAAAAATGTTTGACTATGACTTTAATAAAAAATAACGTATGTTAAAAAACATTGACATTTATTTTTTCTGATAAGAAACTGTTTTTTCATGCAATATTGATTTTTTTTTGTTGGCCATACACGCAAATAAATCTGTAAATTTCACAATGAGAGGAAAAAACGCAGCTGAATTTAAAAATATAAGGGGTGTAATTTCCCATTCGAATACTATATTTGTCTGTGGTGTAGGGATTGTATGAAAAGAAATATTTTTAATACATTTGGTAGTTGCCATGGTATAATAATAAAAGGTAACAGCAAGTGTTGTTGTACAAAAAACGATACAACAACCACATGGAAATTTGTTGTTGTAAGTTCTACTAGTGTCAACTCATTTGACAGAAAAATTTAAACAAACAAACAAATTATCATCAAATTATTTTTATTTTGAAAATGGAATATTTTCGAATCCTCAAAATAAAAATTGAAAAACATGAATGAAAATCTATCAAATTTATATTTCTATCGCTTCCACATCTTTCCTTTAATTGAGCCATTGCCATATATATGTGTAACACATATGACAATGCTGGGAAAAGCGAGTAATTCCTTCAAGAAAGATTTGCTTCCTCAAACTTTCCTAGCAGGCAGATTGAGTAAATTGAATACGGGAGCACATTAATAAAGAACAATTTCAAATTGTATGCGTTCCCAATTTTCCTGTTGGGTGATTTTTAAAAACATAATTTGTCAAATTCATATTGACACTAGTATTACGTTGGAATCAAATCAGCTGGGATTTGCTGTTACCTTTTATAATTGTACCATGGGTAGTTGCCATAAGGACAAATACCGTCTTTCATCGAAATTCTGCACATGGTAATATATTTACTTTACGTAGATCAAGCTTGAATATGAGACCAGTTGGTCCACTCCTTTTGGTATCTTCCCCACAAAGAGTCTTTTGAAAATTTGTTAATCCAATATCAAGATAATATAATATCTGCAAATCGTAATATTTTTACAAACCTACATTAAATTTCAAAAGGACAACTTCATCTGGAACCTCTCCACAGATGGTCAACTATTTAATAAAAGCATGTATGCCTTCGCAAATCATAACCTGGGGGTACGCAAAAAATATTTATTCTTATTGACCGATTATTTTAATTTCCCCTTTTTATAGTTGACAATATGCATATTCTAAATCTAGAACTACTATACGTTTGAGTTCGTATGTACCCATTGAAGTATTGCGAAATATTCTAAGTTTGTATGTATGTACGTATTTATTAATTTTCAAATCGTGTGTGTTGACTAGAAGTTAGTCATGCCATGATTATAAATTTCGCAAATTGTGAAATCAATGAAAAAAATGCCAACCGGTCGCTCTCTTTCGTCTATTGTCGATGACCAAAATTAAAATTTAACTAAATACTCTTTGGCTCTCCAAAGTTGGTTTTCGTTGGTGGGTCTCTTTTGCCCACAACGAATATAAATGTGATACCAACACCAGGCAAAATAATCAGTTGCCCATTAGGATTCATTCGAACGTAACGACTGCATGTTGTTGGAAACTTGACAAAAACAACAAGAAGAGAAAACCAACAATAAAAAATACAACATATGTACATACCAAACGTACATACAAACATTTTCTAGCTAAAGAAAAACTTGGAAAAACCTCCAACGGGGAAAACCCCACAAGCAACTTGATTTCACTGACCTTCAAACGGCGGCACAACTCCAACAACAGGCATTACAAAAAATAACAACAAAAATGGCCCAACTAATACAAATGTCCACGGAACAATTGCAACAGTTGATTCAGTCGGTACAGACGGCTGCCACCAGCAATGCAACTGCTGCCGCCACTGCAGCAGCAACTGCATCAAATACTGCACTTAAATCCAAAGGCAGTTTCAGTAATTGTCCCTGCCGCTTCGGCGGTCAACGTGATCATGAAGCTGTCGAAGAGTTTATTACCTCCATTACCACTTACAAAGACATCGAATGCATTAACGATGAAGATGCCCTTAAGGGTATCTCTTTGCTCTTCTATGGCATGGCATCTACCTGGTGGCAAGGTGTCCGTAAAGAAGCCAAATCCTGGCCAGATGTTCTTTCACTAATCCGTGATCATTTTTCACCCACTAAGCCATCGTATCAAATCTATTTGGAAATTTTCGAAAAGAAACAAGACGATGTTACGGCCATCGATACATTTGTCTGTCAAAAAAGGGCCCTATTGGCCCAATTGCCTGACGAACGTCACAATGAGGAAACTGAAATTGATTTCGTCTATGGTCTGTTGAATATTAAATATCGCAAACATATAGCCCGCCATGACCTGAAGACATTTAGAGAGTTGTTGGAAAAGGGCCGCATTATAGAGCGCAATGTGATGGAGGATCTAAATCAAAGGCAATTCCAAGGACCCATACGTGGTGCAGCAAGAGCTGGTAAACGTTGTACATATTGCAATTTCCGTGGTCATACAACGGACCAATGTCGTAAACGTGGACAACCTAATGGTCGTTCCGGAATGGAAAATTCTATAGAATAGGACATTTTCACTCGGAGAGGTTGCGAAGAGATGTTTGTTGCTGAAAATGAATCCTACTAATGATGATGAATGAATGAATGAAAGTTCCCTTTAGTTTTATCCTTTTTAGTTAAGTCCTAACGTAATCCATTATACTACTAAGTTAATATATATATATATATATATATATATATATATATACATTTTTAAAACCATCACTGATCTTTTTAAATTTAAAATTTTTACCAACTTTCAAGTTATAAACATATTTGTTTTAAACTTCCCTTATTTTCAATTCTAAAAATTTAGAACATACTCGTCATATTACATATTCTAATAACCCTAAATTTTGAATAAAATTTTGAAATATAGTTTAAAATTTTCATAATTGTTTTCAATTTTAATACAGTTTAAAATATTTACATTTACGTCCGTGGATACTATACCTGAAGCGGGACCAACATTGACTATATCGTGTAGGAACTCTAGAACCTGACGTTCTAGTTTTTTCTTTCGATATCCTCCGAAGGTAGTATGATTACAACAGATGGCTGGAACGGCAATATCCAGGACCAATACACAGTTTATTAACAGTGGCGATCACATAAAGTTATTGCCAATTTTGATAGATTTTTTAAAATCCGAGTACATACATCAATACAATTAACATCAATTTAAAGGCCAACAACTCCTTTTTGACACACTGTCAACTTATTCGGTTTATGTCCTTCTGTGGCAAATATATACACGAGAATGGCTAAGTTTTTAATATATCTTCTAAAAAATGCCAAGGCGTCGTACAGGTTCTTATCAAGTTTATCGTAGTTTCTGAATGAATATTATTGTGGTTATTTAAACAAAGTACATGTCGCATTAATGATGCGATTTGGATGAAATTTGATCAGGATTTTTTTTTGACCTAAGGACAAACCCTATTGAAATTGGGAAAATTTGGTTCACATTTAGATATAGCTCCCATATATAGTTTCGTCCGGTTTTCAGTAAATGGTGTACCAAAGCTCCAAAATATGATCGATGGTTATAAAATTTTGCACAACGTACTGATGTTACTATTACCTAACGTGAGTAAAGTTTCATTGAAATCGGTTCAGATTTAGATATAGCTCCCATATATAGTTTCGTCCGATTTTAATTAAATGGTGCACCAAAGACCCATAATGTGGCCAAGTGTAACAAAATTTTGAGCAATGTTCTGAAGTCACTATGTATAACCTAACGTGTGTGAATTTTTCTTGAAATCGATTTGGTGCAACACCCAATACCCAAAGTTAGTTCGATTGAGACTTGGATCTAACTCTCCCATATATATTCCTGTCGGATTTTAAGTAAATGGTGCACCAAACTACTCACGTTTGTCAAATTGACATGAAATTTTGCACAACGTACAACATTGAGCATAGAATGAACTAATAGCGTTTTGTAAAAATGTAGACTAGCCCATATTCATTTTCAATCGACTTTGTGTTAATTGGGCTCCAAATGTTAACTGGGGATACAATACGGGGTTTTATACCCTACACAACTATGTTGTCAGGGTATTATAGCTTTGTGCAGCCCCAAGAGTTTGTAATGCCGCGAAATATTGGTCCTAGACCCACCTTTAAGTATACCGATCGTCATATCTCGACTAACTGAGTCGATTTAGACATGTGTGTCCGTCCGTCCGTCTGTCCATTATAACTTGTAAACACCTTACATGCCACAGTTATGGACCAATCTTCACGAAATTTTGCATGTAGGATGGGTTCTGGCCAATGAAGACCCCTTTTGTTTATGGTAAAGATCGGTTAATATTTAGTGGGTGAAATGGACCAAAAACTTTATTTTTGTCTGATTTTCTGGTAGCTTCAGAGGCCGCAATTACGGCCCAAACATCGTGAATTTTTACATGGAGATGAGGATCGGGCCAAAGAATAAGCATGCCTCTTTTGATAAAGATCTATCAATATTTAGCGGGTTAAATGGACCCTGACTTTTGTGTGAAAAATGACAAAATTTGTATTCAATAGCATATATATTTACTCCTGAAGGATATAGACCAAAGAAGTTGAATATATATCCAAGAGGAATGGTTGGCCTTCAAATTGATACCAATTACATTATCGTATGTACTCGGATGTGTGAGTTACACGTAAATATTTACTGAAGCTTATGTATTCAAATATTATTTAGTAGCCCATTACCACCCTAGAAGGCGAAAATATAGCCCTGATCGCTTTGAAATTTTCCATGAGGATCCAGGTATGGTCAAAGACAACGCCTGTAATTTTCGGTGATGATCAGATAATAATATTGGGATGAAGAGGACCGAAAACTTAATTTTTTTGGGGGTTTTTCGAGCCGATCTATAGCCACAATTGAAATCCGAACATAACAAACAACCCACGCTGGAGGTCAAAAGAGTGCAAATATTGCCCAAGATCAGAATATAGAACCACACAAAGTTAGATTTTCGTGGATATTGTGTAGGCTATCATATGGTCGGCCCCGTCCGACTATACTGCTCCGCCCACTGGTTTCATAGTATGGTTTCATAGTAAAGCATACAAATTCTTGATCAGCGTAAAATTCTATGACGATGACCGAATTGGCTTTAATTTAGTATTTTGTGTTCCTAATAAGCACCAAATCTCTTCACAAAAAATTATAAATATAGGTCCATTTTTTAGGATAGCCCCCATATAAAGGTACCCCCAATTTTCGGTATTTTGGGGTTCTTGAGCGGGGTTTTCAACCGAATTCGCTGCAATTTGGTGGTCGTAAATGGTAACAAATCTCCCTACCAAAAATTTTTAATATTCGCCCCCTATTTGGGGTTGTTCCCATATAACCCCCTTTTTATATTAAAATAGTTATATGATTTGTCCGTGCTTGGGTTTGGTTCTAAGACTCTGTTGTAATCATCATATATCATATATATTAATGTATTTGAATTTTTACCCGCATTTAGGCATAGCCCCTGCTTGGGAAAGACAGAAGGAGTGGACCGAGATTCCCCATGTACGAACTTGAACTAATTTTGGAAGAAATAAAAAGATGGACAAAGTTTAGATGAAATCAAAATTTTTTGAAACAAATTTGGTATGTTCCCTATATTTTCATTTCTAGCACCTGTCAGTATATCTATGGTGGAGGGCATCCAAAGTTCGGCCCGGCCGTACATAACGCTTTTTCACTTGTTTAAATTATTTTTGATTTTCTTTGGTTTTTCTTTTGTTTTTAGATTATAAGGTTGAGTTTATTAACATCCATTGTACACAATACTTCATTTCTAAATTCTTCAAATCATAATTGTCGATAACAAAAACTATTCACATAATTATAAATTTTTTTTAGTCAGGTTCCCTAGCAAACTAGAATTTATCATCCGATTTTAAAGTATTTTTGAAGTTTTATTCACAAATGCGGTTCTTCCCCAATTCGAACTATTTTTTTTTTTTGAGATATTAGTCATTTATTTTCCGCAGTCCAAAAATAATAATCATTGTTAAACTATATATGTACATATATAATTGAAGTGTAGTATATATGTATAGATGTGTGTCTCTACAACTATTGTTACTAATCACTCTATAAATCATTTCCACTCAATTCAATAATTAAAAAAAATTTTATCAATTTTTTCCAACCCTGTAGAATTTTGAGTTGACGACATTAGGGATTTTCCTTACTATGGGATATTTATAAAGGTAATTATTAAATAAATATGTTTGTATGTATATGGAGCTCATAAAACTCTAACCAAAAATCGAATATTTTTTTAACATTTTATCGTAGGTATCAAATCGATTGCAGTTTAGTAGACACCAGCTTTGTGTGTAAGTAAATATGTAAAGGTGGGTATTATGGAAGTCTAGAATCTCGAACTGTCAATAAAACAAACAATTAGTTCTTATCAATTTAATATTTTGTCATTATCGGGTTATTTTGTATTTGGTTGGGAAACAATTGCCTCTATTTCATTTGAATTCTACGAAAAAGAGAATCCCATTCTCATGCCAATGGTTCTCTTAATTTCAAATTTCACAAATTGTGAAATGTTACTAATCTCTCAGAGAAAAACAAAAACTAAAAATATGTTTGTATGTATGCTTGTGTGTATTTGTATGAGCGCAACATTTGTGGTTAATTTAGTGACTAAATTTTAGTCGTCACTACTTAGTCTCTCTGGCGCTCTTTTCCTATGATTGCTTCGGCGACTATAAAAGCCCAAGGCATTGCTCGAACAAATCAGTCTACTGCGAAAATCAACAAACGCAACGACCAAACAACCAATGTTCGATTGGAGTTGAAACGGTACAACAAATTAAAAAAAAAAAACATTCGCCAACAAATCTAAGTGGCTTTGTTTGTCTACAAAACACCTCCAACATCAACGCAACATAATCGCAACTTAAGTGAAAAACAAAACTAAAACAACATCAACAAAATGGCTCAAATGGTACAAATGACCACAGAACAATTGCAACAACTCATCGAGGCTGTTCGCGTATCCGCTGCCAACAGTGCTGCCCAGGCTGCTGAAAATGTCCAACAAAAATCCAAGGGCAGTTTCAGTAATTGTCCCTCTCGTTTCGGTGGCCAACGTGATCATGAAGCTGTCGAGGAATTCATAACCTCCATTGTAACGTACAAGGAAATCGAATGTATCAGTGATGAGGATGCCTTGAAGGGTATCTCTTTGCTGTTCTATGGCTTGGCCTCCACTTGGTGGCAAGGTGTACGCAAAGAAGCTAAAACATGGGATGATGTTTTGGCTCTGATCCGTGACCATTTCTCACCCACCAAACCAGCCTATCAAATCTATGTGGACATCTTTGAGAAGAAACAAGAAGACAATGTGGCCATTGATACATTCGTGTGCCAAAAGCGGGCCCTCTTGGCTCAATTGCCTGAAGGTAGACACGACGAGGAGACCGAAATCGATTTTGTATATGGTCTGCTGAATATCAAATACCGCAAGCATATTGCACGCCAAGACATCAAGACGTTCCGTGATCTGCTGGAGAAGGGTCGCATCATTGAACACAACATGATGGAAGATGAGGCTGATCAAAAGGGACCAGTGCGTGGTTCCAAGGGCACAAAACGTTGTACGTATTGCAATTTCCGTGGTCATACCACAGAACAGTGCCGCAAACGCAAGTCGGACGAAGAATAAAATGAAGTCGACAACAACAAACACTACACAAATGATGTCACACACCACTCGCAATGGAACCAACAACAACTAAACTAAAATTAACTAATCTTTTAGGTAAAGTTCTCAGAGAATTGGTAGTGACATCAGATAAAACAGAGCAGTTATAATAGCTTGTGTACCTCTCCCGCAAATATTATGACTGCCTTTTCAACAAATCACTCATATTAAATAGGTTTCTCTTGATTTTTGATGCCGGTAAGTTTACTTAGCAAATCTCTATGATTTTATTGTTCCCCGAGAGTTTTTTTTAATTTAAGAATTCTTTAGGAACATTAAAATTGTTGTGATTTGTAAAGACAAATTTCCGTTATCAAAAAATTGGGAGTTCACCTGCCTGCATTTTTAAGGTTAAGGCTAAACGCCTTCCATTCACACGCTGTGTTTCTCTAACAAACCGGCTTTACAGGCTATGAACGCCTGGACTCTCATCACTAGCAGTTTAATTGGATTTTTTTAATCTAATAACAACCGCACGTATTGCAACAACAACAACAATTATTATGCAATTTTTTGCATTTTGTGTATACGGGTATTTTGCAGATTTTAGTCGGGTAAGTATTTCATTTTGCTAAAGTTTGAAGACTATGCTTAGGCCTCTGGCAGTGTCAAGGTCCAATAGTTGGGGGAGAAATTCTTTTAATTGTTGGCCTCGACAAAGACCAAGGCTTGGGAATATTTTCGATACAGTTCCACAAAATGAAATCATTATCGAGATTCAAAGTTTGTCGGAATACCCAAACCCGTTGTATTCAATTGTTTACGAGAGTTGTTGCTGGGAGTGTGGTGGGATTAAAAATACTTACATTTGAAAAATGTCGAACATTTTTTATAGAAAAAATTTGGGGATGCGAAATTTGTTATTCCTCGCGGAAGACAAATTTAGAATTTTCAATATTTTTTATATTTATAATGTTTGGTTATTTTTTGAATGTAAGTATTTTTATTTTTCCCGCCACGTCATACCTCTCCCAACAACTCAACTGGACTTCTGAATGCAACAGAAAACCCCCCTCGTTGCTTTCAAAATATTTCGGAAATATGCCGGTATTTTTGCCTCGAAGAAGTGAAGTTTTTTCTCTTTTAACAAAGCGAACAATTCTTGAAATTTTGAATCCGAATGAATTTCCACCTCAGTGGCGGTTTGTTTGGATTTCGAATGTAGGGAGTTGTATCAATTTTTAAAAGCGGAATTACCTAATGACTTTGGGGCAAAAAGTGACTGAGAGTTTTCTTAATGTTTGGAAGTGACAAAACCTTTTTTTCGCATTGGCGAAAAAAAAACTTTTGCTCGCATTGGCGAATAAAAATTTTTTTGAACAAATCAAAAATTATTATCGTTATAAATTGTACAACGATGGCTAGGTTGTCGCCATTCGTACAATTGGCACGCCAACGCAAATTGTTTTAAGACTCTGAGCAAAGAATCCTGAAACATTTTGAAAATGGCACGCCTGTCCCCCACATGGATTAAGCTATGCTAACTAACCTCCAAATTAGCAAATTATGGCTACCTTAATCCAAAACACCTACATCAACTAGAGTTCACTTTTTTTTATAAATTAAGGCATTTCAGGAGAAAGTAACATCAATTCATTTAAGAATTATACACAAGGGAAACAGCCTTTACATATGATGAGCCATTTGGAGGTTTTTCATGGCCCATTATCAACATCATTTGTAAGGGTTTATTTTTCCCTCCACAATTAGTTAACATCAAAGGTGATCTGTTTACTTTTGTAATTTCATTAATTCATATTTTTTAAACTCTAGTTCTATTTTTTATTTTTTTTAAGTTAACAGCATTGTTTTGTATTCATTATTTTATAATTATTGACAAAGACTGTTGTATTTAGATTGTAAGCAATTTTTTTGAAAAAAAAAACCCATTTAAATACAAAACCAATAATAGCAATGCTATTAAAAAACTAAATCTTATTTGGTGTCTTAATTTTTTCGTGGCCGAACTTGGATGTTGGGGGGAAAATAAATAAAAAATTAAAAAAAAAAATAAATATTAAAGTAAATAATAAAAGTAGTTTGGTCAATATATTTATGGGAGCTATATTTAAATGTGAACCGATATCCGTTAAACTTAACTGATGTCATTCTAAATCTGAACCGATTTGACCCAAGTCAGTTTAGAATCATTTCATTACGCTGTTCAAAATTTCGTCGCAATTATACAAGCATATCGTCTTTGGTGCACCAATAAAATAAAATCGAACGAAAATATGTACGGGAGCTATACCTAAATCTGAACCGACTTCAATGACACTTGACACACATCGCTCTAGACTCAATACAGTATGCTCTACTGACTCAATTCGGTAAGCTATTGTAAATTTCGTCTCAGTCGGCCGCACGTGGGGAGTTTGGTGCATCATTTATATGAAATCGGACAAAAATATATATATGGGAGTTATATCTAAATCTGAACCAAAATGTGTTCTCATTCGGACGAACGTAGGATATTTGGTGCATTATTTACATAAAATCGAGCTATATGTAAATATGAACGATTTCATCGAAACTTAACACACGTGATTCTAGACTGAATTTTGTACGCTCAATCGGACATTCCATTTATCTCAAATCGGGAGAAAATATATATAGGAGCTATATCTAAATTTAATCTCATTCGGATCATAAATACGAACTGAATATAAACAAACGGACTGTCGGACCTGGGGCCAAATCACCAAATTCGTCATCGAGTTCTGTTTCGTATAGAGAAACATTTCGATCGTTGTAAATTTTTGGATCCCCGCATTCGATCGTAATTTATTTTGTCTACTACTTTTGTTTACATTGCTGTAAACGTATGGTAGTATAAAAATGGAAGCGAAAGAGAATATCAAAATAAGTTTTCTTAGAAATTTATATATCACACCGATCAAACGTACATGTTTGACGTGTGCGGGCCGCTTAAGCTTGGCCGCAAAATGATGCGCACCACCATAGACATGTTTACTTGTTGATGTCTCAACAACGACTAAACAAATGAGCGTAAGAATCCGCGTGACTTGAGCAGACCAATAGAGCAGTGTTGCTCAGCCCTTTACGTTTTCGCGACAACAAACCACACGTATTCTCTCTCAATTTAGATTTACCGTTTGTTTAGCATGGGCGGGAGAGTCACATACAAATACCAATGCAAGTATTGTGAGCATCACTGCGCTGCAGTGCATCCCTGAAATAAAGAGAACCTTTGGCATGAGCTTAGCGTTCTCTTTCTTAGAATTAAAGAGAATGTTTTGGTAAACAGATACAAAATAAGCAGATAATGACAAAATACCAAAATTACTATTCAGCCTGGCTGAATAGTGTTTTCTATAGGAAAACTTCATATTGAGCCTGGCTTAATTGTGTTTTCTATGGGAAAACTTCATATTCAGCCTGGCTGAATTGTGTTTTATATAGGAAAACTTCATATTCAACCTGGCTGAATTATGTTTTCTATGGGAAAACTTCATATTCAGCCTGGCTGAATTGTGTTTTCTATGGGAAAACTTCATATTCAGCCTGGCTGAATTGTGTTTTCTATGGGAAAACTTCATATTCAGCCTGGCTGAATTGTGTTTTCTATGGGAAAACTTCATATTCAGCCTGGCTGAATTGTGTTTTCTATGGGAAAACTTCATATTCAGCCTGGCTGAATTGTGTTTTCTATGGGAAAACTTCATATTCAGCCTGGCTGAATTGTGTTTTCTATGGGAAAACTTCATATTCAGCCTGGCTGAATTGTGTTTTCTATGGGAAAACTTCATATTCAGCCTGGCTGAATTGTGTTCTCTATAGGAAAACTTCATATTCAGCCTAGCCTGTGGTGAACCTAACGAATAATCATTGTATATATGTATGTCGGTGTGTTGGTACGCTTCTTTTCAAGTTGTTTGTGTCAGCTGTGGACTGATTGGTGTATGAGTCATACCTTTGCCGGCAAATTTAAAACGGGAGCAATTTATATTCTGCATGAGAATCATGTTTTCTTTTGGTTACAAACGAGATTTACCGGCTTTTTCAATGAGAGACACATTTTGGGAGAATTGTTTTCCATATTTTAAGATGCTAGGTAATGCTGCTGAACTACATTTGTATTGGTCTTAAATTTTGGACTCTCCGGCCTTTTTTCAAAAAAAAAAAAATCACATTTAAACCATAACGGAAAATTCTAAATTATATAGAAATAATTTATTTTCATAAAATAACATTATTTTATTTTCATAAATAACATTATTTTAATAATCCACGATTATGAATTTGTCTGAATATATTTATTTTTTTAAATTTTTTTATAAATATAATTTATTCAAAAATTTTGAACGACAATATTAAAAAAAACAACAATAAAATATGCGGTTTATAAATAAGGATTTGAATAAAAAATAGTAATCGTATCATTTCATCCATTTAAATTAAATTCGACTTTCGATTTCTAATTTAGCATATCTATATTGGAATGACCTAGGATACAAGGAAAATGCTTATCAGAAATATAATATGTATTTAGTTTTAAAACGCTTAAACGTGCAATTTTCTCACAGCAATATACGCCCACTCAAAAAAAAAAAATAAATAAAATAAAAAAAAATATTTTACATTTAGCAGACCATACACAAAATCTAATTCCGTTTCCTCATCATGACGACCCTCGGGCAGCATGGCCAGTATGAAAGGATCTATTAACACCAAATCACCCTGTTTCTTTTCGAAGATCTCCAAATAAATTTGATAGGTCGGCTTCGATGGTGAGAAATATTCTCTCAGCAGACGCATGGCATCATCCCATGTTTTGGCCTCCCGCCGTACACCTTTCCACCAGGTCGATGCCAAACTGTTGAAGAGCAGCGATAAACCGCGAAGGGCATCTTAATCGGATATCTGTTCCATTTCTTAGTATGTTTCAATGTCATCGATTAACACTTCGACGGCATCATTGTCACATTGGCCCGCAAAATGGGTACAACAATTGGCAAAACTTTTCGATTTGATTTCTTGGGATTTAATTGTTTCGATAAGTTGTTGAAATTGGTCTGGGAACATTTGTGTTGCTTGTGATGCCATGGTGATGATATTTTTTGTGAGGAACTGAAACGTCCGCGTTACAGCGTTCAGTTGCTTACGTTAGCCAATAAGAAACTGAACGACCATGGTGAATATTTTCGTATAAAACGTATATTTTTGTTGTTAACCAAAGAAATAATCATTGTATTTATGTATGTCGGTGTGTTTGTGCGTTTGTTTTCAAGTTGTTTGTGTCAGCTGTGGACTGTGGCAATTGAATCTCTGCCTGAGAGTCGTGTTTTCTTTTGGTTATAAAAACAAATTGCCGGTTCAAGAGATTTACCGGCTTTTTTTTTCAATGAGAGACACATTTTAGGGAGAATTGGGAGAAATTATTTTCTTTTATAAGCAAGAGATTTCACCGTTGGAGAAGGCAATTGGGGAGGCCGTGTGTGTTTTTTGTTTCGCAAAATTATGCAAAACCCGGCATTTATTTAGTTTTTACATTTTTCAGAGGGATTCCCTCTAAGCAATATTGTGATGATTCATATCCAACAACATCTATTAATATATGTATGCAAATCTATGGAAATTAGTAGAGGGGTGATGGTGGTGTGACTCATATCAATTTTTGGAAAAAATTAAGACATAAATGAATGCAAGTTTTAAGCAGAAATTGAAATAAAAACTATCGCTTCAGTGTCAGGCATGAGGTGCACTTAGGACCCAATATACATGATTCAATTGATGTACATATCTGAAATCAATTGACAGAAAATAATGGACTTCGCTAATGAGTGAGATAACAAGTAAAAAAGTGTCAGTCGGTTTTGTCGACAGATATATACCGTAAGTGAATGATTTGCGGAGGTGTTCGGAATTCCATATAGGATTTATTATTCGCTTTATATGATGTATGTTTTATCAAAGAGGTATCGCATGTTATGTTGATCAAATTGATAATTCGTTTAACTTCAAATTATATTTACAAGTTATAAAATATTGACCCTTTTTGGAGGAGATACCAGAAACAGTGGAGCAATGGATAAAGTTGAGAAATTATAACCCAACCGTCTCTTTCGATTATGATTTCAATTCTGATTTATTTATGAAGTATTCTTACATAAGAACTACATAAACTAATATAATGCTACTATTAAGCTTCGAATGGAGTATTAATCATGTGGTCCAAATGACCAAAATTGCAATTTAACCAAAAATCTGTGGTTCTCCAAAGTTGATTTTCGTTGGTGTGTCTCTTTTGCCCACAACGAATATAAATTCGATACGAACATCAGCAAAGTAATCAGTTGTCTATTGGGATTCATTTGGAACGTAACGACTGCGTGTTTTTAGAAACTTGGCAATAACAACAACAAGAAATAAAAACCCAACAATAAAAAATACAAAATATGTACATACCATACGTACATACATATAAACATTTTCTGGCTAAAGAAAAGCTTGGAAAAAACTCCAACGGGCAAAAACCCACAAGCAATCTGAGATTTCGTTGACCTTTAAACCGCATAACTGTAACAACAAACAGCCATCGTATCCAATCTAAATTTTTTAAAAGAAACAGGACATCGACACATTTGCTTGTCAAAATGGGCCCTATTGGCCCAATTGTCTGACGAACGTCACAATGAGGAAACTGAAATTGATTTCGTCTATGGTCTGTTGAATATTAAATATCGCAAACACATAGCCCGCCATGACCTGAAGACATTTAGGGAGTTGTTGGAAAAGGGCTGCATTTTTGAGCGCAATGTGATAGATGATCTAAATCAAAGGCAAATTTAATTTGTCTTATAAGATCTTTGGTAAAGTTTCCCAATTATTATTTTTTTTAATTCTATTCTCATTATTTTTCAAGCCAATTAAAAATATATATATATGTAGTTAAGAATATGATTCTCCAATTTTCTAAAAAATTAGTAATCTTAGACAACCTATAGGGTAAATACATCAGTATCTATGCTTCAGATCCATATAACAGCACGGGTAGTAGTAAAAGACGATGACTTTTAAGGTGTGAGTTTGGTCTGGCGGGAGGTGGCTTACTCTAAACTGCTTACTTAGACCATAGTAGCATCTGTTGGACTTCTCCGAATTTCAAAACTGTTTTTGAAATTCAGTTTTATTTATGGCGGTACCAAGGTATATATAATCTTTAACTATTTCGAAGCTGTAGTTCTCAAGTTCCACAGTTGGACCGAGTGTACTGGATGCCTTGCGCGTTGATGCCATCAGATTGGTCTTCTCGCCATTTACTGCCAGACCCACTTTGGTACACTCCTTCTCAATTTGTTCAAAGGTGACTGTTACTGCTCGCAATGTTCGACCCATTATATCGATGTCATCGGCGTAGGCGAGTACCATGTGCTGTTTGGTGTACAGAGTACAATTTCTGTTCACCTTTGCGTCTCGTATGATCTCTTCTAGCAGGATGTTAAATACTGTCGCCCTGTCTGAATCCTCAATCGGTATTGAAGGGCTCCGATAGGTCCTTTCCGACTTTAATTGTTGACCTTGTGCCACTTAAAATTATCCTGCATAGTCGTAATAATTTTGCAGGAATGCCGAACGCAGACATGGCTTTGAATACCTCAAAATGGATAGGACTATGGCTATATGTAGAAGATTTGTGGACAAGGTATCTAAAAAAGTCAAGGAATGTTTCCTTTGCTTCAAAGAAACTCACTGCTCAGTAATCTTCAATCTGGCTTTCGTGCGGGACAAAGCTGCACCACTGCTCTTATATGTATAAGTTTCAGAGTCTATAAGGTTCGAGATTGATGAAAATAAAATATGTTTCCTCGTTTTGATCGCTCATTCAAAAGCATTTGATGACGTCGACCATAAAACTTGTGTTTTAGACTTCTTCGTTTCTTTTTAAACTTTCCACAACTTCTATTAAACTAATTATGTTCTATCTTTCAAATAAATCTCAGTCAGTTTACACTGGAACCTTGATCTCTAACTCGTCATATCACCATCATAGGTCCGCTCCTCTTCTCCTTATACGCGAACGATCTTCATGATCATCTTCACCATATTCAAGCACACATGCACGCAGATAATGTGCAATAATTTTTGAGTAGCTCCCTAAAAAAATGAGTCAGTGTGTAGAAATTCCTAATCACGATTTCTCACGATTATGCGAGTGGACTGAAGCAAATGGTCTATTATTGAATCCACAATTATTTTTAAGTAGCTCCCTAAAGAAAATAAGTCAGTGTGTAGAAATTCTTAATCACGATCTCTCACGATTATGCGAATGGTCTATTATTGAATCCACTTAAATCAAAATGTCTGATCATTCACAAAACATCATTGCAGAATTTTGAAATTCATGTTAAAAATGAAAAAAATCGAGCTGGTATCCAGCGCCAAAAATCTTGGAGCAAGTAATGCAGATTTTTTAATATAAAATACATTTAATGTATACCCAATACATTAAAGGCAATGAATGTATGTATTTTTGTGTCAAATGTGTGAAGTATTGTCTTCAGTTTAAGGGAACCCCACCCATTCTCGATTTTAATTTTTCAAGATTTTCAATGGGCTGGTAAACCAATACCAATGCTTGTTAAGGTTTGTAACTTTGCACATATAAATTTGAAGATTTAAAAGAGAAGAAAAATAATTGACAAAAATTTTTTGTTATTGTTTTGTTGTTGTTTTTTGTAATTAAAGAAAAGTCCTTATTTTTGATGGCGGGCATGATAACTCCTCACTGGAACATCGGAATCCGAAAATTCCAACGGTGTTAGAAAGAGTACATGTCTGGCTCTCGTATGAACTAGGATTATTGACCTCGCTCTAAAATTAACAAAATGGCGGACATTTGAAGAAATATTTTTGGAAAATCGCCAATTTTTGGCCAAAAACCAAGTTAAAAAATACGGAAGATCTTCACCGATTGGCTTTATCCTAGTTCATACGATAGCTACACACTCACAGAGAAACGTGTAAAAATTTGGAATGGATTGGGTTATTAGTTTTTGAGTTATCGTGCCCGCCATTCGCAAAAAAATGTTTAGAGAAATACGCGTTTAAAGTTTGAGAAGCCCTTCAGCCGTCACTTGATGTTGACACAATAAATCGGCTATATCTTGAAGAATTCTTGAGATTTTTACTTCAAATTTTGTAGGGACATTCTTGAATCAGTGTAGATTCGAATTAAATCAACAAAAAAATTGACCCCGAGAATGGGGGTCCCCTTAAATACATTTTCACGATATATCCGCATTTAACATGTTTACAAATTACAAGTTTTGTATTAAAAAACTTTTTTTTATAAAAAATATTTAACAAAGTAGCATAATAATTTGTTGCATTGCTGAAATACTAAAGAAATAAAATATCCCATAGTAAATACAAACTTTGAAAAAATTCAAAGTGTATTACTTCATTTACGCTGAACAATAAACACAAGCAAACAATGCGTGCTTCCATGCGCATGTTTACTCGTTGACTGATTATCGACGACTGATTGTTGCTCTCCGAGCGAGTTTGTTTTGTCATGCTTTGAGGTGGCATATATGGCTAAGCATGGCTGATTTGCGTATTTTATTTGTTGTTTATTTCGAGTCCATTTTTCTACTATATTGTATTAAGGTTCTCCATATTGTAGCTTTCCATAAGAACATTTTGAATTTTTTGTAATAAAGCTGAGTAATTTTAAAAATTAGCTTAACAATAGTTTCCAATTTTCGGCATATCGCATTTTAGTTAAAAAAATATATATATTATATTATTTTGTTATTTACATTAAATGATTCTATGTATATTATCAAAAGGAATCATGGGTCTATCTTGTTCCGTTACATACCACAATGGTATGTTAAATAAATTTCTAATATTAGTTATTCTTAAACATTTAAAAAAGTTTCTATAGAAAAAATATAAATATTCTCTATGACATCGATTCTCAATTGCGGTTCTTCCCCGTTTCCAACTATTTTTTGGAGATATTAGTCACATTGTCACCTACTCATCTCTGAGAATCCACACAAAATAAAAAAATATGTATGATTGTGTATATTTGTATG